TTTAATCAACAATTATAAAATATAAATAGGTGTAATAAAGTAAGGAATTTATTATTAGGAAAAAATGTGATAGCGATTTATGTGAAAATATATCAGATATCGCAGTATGTATATATACTACAGTAAATATATGACTCTACATCGACGCCAATTCAATTCGGTGAGCATCGTGATCGTTAGAGTATTATGTATGCAATTATGTCACTGATTAATTCAATCAGCAAAGTGAGTAATTTCAATCAGCGCCAAGCGACGAAACCCAAGGTGAATAGCGCCTGTGTATGAGGAATTTGTAATAGTAGTTTAGTAATATTATATAATTAATTGCACGTTAATATTTTATTAATTTAACTTGCAGGAAACTTCTCATACCTCACTGCTACAATCAGTCTACAACGACAGAAAGAGTTGTTCATTATGTCAAGCTACCTTCCGAGCTTATTGATTGTCGTGTTGTCATGGTTTTCATTTTGGATCAACCCGAACTCCGAACCAGCCCGTGTATCACTCGTAATGACTGCATTATTAACACTGTGTACACAGATGAATGGTATCCAGGCAACAGTGCCTAGGGTGGCGCATCTGAAGGTAAGGTTCCTCAAAGTGAGATACCGTATGAAGGTCGATATGACCTGTCCAACTGTTTGGTATTGAAATATTGACAGATAAAACACACTATAATCCAATTCCATCACTCGTGAATTAGTAACATTCACTAGCTGGGCGGTCGGCAAATTCACAAATATTCACGTTAAACTGTATCATTTTATGTTTGAACTGCACATGGCGAGCGAAGGTACATTATCACAGCAATATTTAAATTTCAGACCAAATATCAAGAATTAACTCATTGGCTAGCCGACTGAACATTATATTGTAAAGAAGTTAACAATTCTGAGATTTTCTAGCGCTAGAACGTCAAATAAAATTCCTGTGAGCATAAGACGTATTATTATACATCTGTCACCGCAACGCCATAAGTAACAGCGTGCCGTAATTTTGCCTAATTTTACGGGGTATTTTCATCCTACCATTTTAGGAAATGCGAATTCCAAATATGGAATGATTACGCGCGTAAGCGTCCTCTAATAACAAAAACAAGCATGGCAGTCACCGGGGTTTGACCGGATTCCACATAAGGAAGTTTGCTGATTCTGTTCTACAAATTTTGGATTTTGGCATTCCCTAGATGTATCCTTGGAAAGAAAAGATGTATAATAATAATAATAATGTTATTACGAGGATACCTCAAAGTATGCACTCGGACAGTGCGTCGGTCGATAGTCCAGCTGTTCTGTATTCGTGTATACTTTGAGGTATCCTCATAATAACCTCATATTATCCATTGACGATTTAAAGCGTCATATATTCTATTGTAGGCCATTGATGTGTGGATGTCAGTCTGTCTCGTCTTTGTGTTCGCAGCACTAGTGGAATACGCCGCTGTTAACTATATTAGTTTACAGACGAGGAAACAAAGTCGAAAGAAACAACAATCGTTTGAGATGATACATTTAATTGAAGACAAAGAAAACAACAAGGTGAGTTGATGTGAAGTCATTGTATACTACAAATCGAGACGTAAAAGGGACGTATGTGTGAATATATTCAGGCAGTCTACTAGATTTCTATAATAATTCCCTACAGATTATTGTTCGGCATATTTCTAGAAACAAGTTAATGCCTATAGCATTATTATCTTCGAAACAATGTTCACTTTGTAAAACTAGTTAAATAATTGAGCATTAATGTAGCAAAGGTTTTACGTCGAGGCTGGTTAATACCTTAGATTCGTTTCAGTTATTGAAAGTTGGTAGTGTCCAAATGTTTTGTAGCCGTTATGTAATCATAAAAATACGCTACTTGTTTTAAAAGTCGGTAAATCGTTTGGGACTTCACTCCTCAAATCCAGATGAATCAATAGCCACAAAGACTTAAGGTCTAAATATTTATATGTGTGTCATTTTTCGTAGGTAAACCATAAATCAGAGGACGGAAGAACAAGCCGTGAGTCAAAAGGCCCGGATAGTGCAGTGATTGGCTTTCAGTTCCGTGACGTCATAGGTCACGTAAGATCTGGGAAAATCGATTATTACTGTCGAATTGCATTTCCTATCGCATTCATGGTGTTCAATATATTTTATTGGCCAACATACTTGTGTTGGCTTGATTGAGAACAACTGAATGTTTCTATGAACCGGTATGGTCTAGATTTAACGAACTAATTCTGCTCAGTTTACTTTAAATTGATTATATTAATCTCCTTTTTAGTAAATTGACAAACTTACCAAGAGTTTTAGATTTGTTTTATTTTAAATAAAGGATGGGCATCTACAAAAGTGATGTAGTTGAACCAATGTCCGTTCACATGAACGTTCGTCGATTTTGCCTGCATTGAATTAAATATTCTTCAGTCCCAGGTTATATTCAATATTTGAGTTATCGCTAAAAAGGTGTGTACATAATGCATACCATCAGACTAACATCGTTAAATAATAGACTGTGTAATTTTCATGAGGGTCGATTGTGATTGTATAATTACATATATTGCTTATGATAACACAGCTACACCTCTGAGTGCCTTATTTTAACAATTCATGTATGCATATCTCGTACTATAACAGGAGATTACTGAACATGTAATATATATAGATATATTAGGGTTATTCAACCAGAAGAAGTAGTAAATGAGAAGGATTCAGAAAAAGACCCACTTTCCAGAACGGGAAGTTTTGATAATTTCATGTTATACAGAAATGGCTGGTAGTATTTTTTCATGTTGGAAATCGCTTTGTGTCCACGACATGGTTTTCAAGACAACCACACTCTATGTTTTTATTATGACGTCGAACCATTTATACGGAGTATTCAATAACAAATGATACTGATAAGGGCATCAAATATAACTTTAGAACCAATTGACGCTGCAAACAACCCTACATGCGTTTATGTACGTGCCATAATTTCACTGCAGTTCAATATGCTCAGTTAGGCATGTTAATCATGACTAATACATTACGTGTTTTCTATGTGTGTTTCTTAACACACTTTACAGACGTATAAAAGTGAATAGAACATGTGAGTATTTCTGTTTCCTGTCCATTCAAGAAAGATATCACAGCACATGATCACACTAATGTCATTTGCTGATATAAAC